GAAGGGAATTGGATGTCCAAGTGGCACCAAAAGCAAAGTGTCCCCCACAGCACCACAGCCATTCCCTTGGGCACAAGGGCTGTTGTATCAGTCCCAAAGCTGCTCATCCCCTGCTGTGGGCTCCATCCTGGTGGACCAGGAGCCCGGGGCTCCCCAGGGACATCCCAAGCCTCATCCCTCTCTCTCACACCCCCAGGTTGCCACGACAAGGCAGTGCTGCTCTATGAATACGTGGGGAAGCGGATCGTGGACTTGCAGCACACGGAAGTCCCAGATGCCTATCGAGGGAGAGGAATAGCCAAGCACCTTGCCAAGGTACAGCCCCGGCCACCCAAAAGGGCAGAAGCCATGGCTAGAAAGCCTGAAGCCCCATCTCATCCCATTGGAATTGAATGCATGCCCCATGGGAACTGACTCCGATCCAATGGGAGATGGGGCGGCTGGCGGGGCAGATGGGAATCTGTGGTCAGGCATTCCTATTTCTGGTGGTGAGAGGGACTGGGTGGGTGTCAGCATGTCCAGCTGCTCAGCCAGGCTCTGCTTTTCCTCCTTGCAGCAAACAGCCCTCACACCCACTTTGATGCAGCTCCTCTCCTGGAGGCTGGGTCCCCTCATCTCAAAGCTTCAAGGTCCCTGTAAGCCCCTTTCCAGCCCTTGAAGCCTGGAGCCTTGCAGGGAGAGCTGAGGAGCCACAAGCACAGTGGTGGTGGGGACTATGGGGTGATGCTTTGGGGTTACAGCTACTCCCTGGCCCCATAAACCAGGCAAAGGGGTGACAAACGTGGCCTTTATAAGATATGGCTGGGTCACCTGCAGTGCCAGCCGTCCACCAGGCTGGATGCATTAAGGGTTACCCGGGGGTCCCTGCACATCTCTTGTTAAACTGGGGACCTAGTGGTACCACAGAGGCTGTGGCAGGATAACTGTGCTCTGCTCCCATCCTCTCCCTCCATCTCCCTCATACAGGGGATACATGAGGGCAACCTCCTGCTCCCTCAGTCGCATGTGGGGTGCAGGAGTCCGGACCCCTGTGAGCCTTCAGAGGAGAGCATAGAGCTGAGGGTGCTGGTTGTAAACCTTGTGTCCTCTCTGACTGCTTGCAGGCAGCCCTGGACTTCGTGGTGGAGGAGGACCTGAAAGCTCACCTGACGTGCTGGTACATTCAGAAGTACGTCAAGGAGAACCCCCTGCCGCAGTACCTGGAACACTTGCAGCCTTAAGGCAGGACTGCTCCGACACCAGCGCTGTCCCTGACTGTTCAACGCGGCCTTCGCTTCTCTGCCGTCTCAGGAAAACCCCTTCCCACACTCACAATTCCCTCTCTTTTTTAAGTGCATCCATGTGGTGCATGAGTGTGGGCACAACCTCCTCCTCTCTGCCCACGCGCGAGCGCGGCTGCTGGCTCCAGGCACACGCGATGCCTCTCGGTGCTCTCGCCGAGCCAGGCGATGGAAGAGGATGATTCTTCCACCAAACTCCATCACAAGAGCAGGGGATGAGCCGATCTGCCCCTCATCCTGTCCCCTTTGCCTGGTGACAGCTATGAACTTGCTGAGGGATGCTGGTTGGGGTGGTCGTGGGGTACCAGCAACCGTTTCTTCCCAGCAGGTGGGGGAGATGCTATGGATGAGGCCTTGTGGGACAGAGGGAGGTGGCAGGTTCATCCCCTGCAGCATCTGTTGAACACTGAGCATTGCCCAAGCCCATGTGGAGTACAGATGAGAACGTGTGGGCCGTGATGGCACCACTGTGGAGACACTGGGATGGTGACACCTTCAAGTCTAGAGACGGGAGCCACGTAAGGAGTGGGTTTAATCTACAGGGGCTGTGGCAGAGCATATGCAATGTGAGTGTGCAGAGGAAGAAAGGCAGCTGAGTTGCAGATGCTCCTCCCTGGAGATGCCAGCTCCTGCCCAGCCTTCTATACATAGCCCCAGCATGGAATCTCCACAGGGTCATGGCCATTGTTCGTGTCTCTGCTCCCTGCTGTCGGTGTTGACCATGCTGGTGTGGACAAAGCCTGCTCAGGAGAAGAGCACCAGCCTTGGCCTAAGCAATAAGGGGACACCCCCTGCTTTTGCAGGCACCAGAGTGGTTTCCTGCAGCTGAAGAGGAAGGCTCCCCTCCATCTCCCTCAACTCCAGCTCTGCACCCACATCGTAAAAGCCTGACCTGTCATTGTGTCCTGACAGCAACAGGGGTAAGGCCTCTGGGACTTGCTCCTGTCCCATCTCCAGGACCTGATGCTGGAGCCGCCTGCCTCCACTTGGATGCTGATCACTTCTCCTTACAGCCTTTGGAAAGGAGCCCTGGCTCAGGGCATTACCTGCCTGCTCACTGCCCCTCACACAGCTCCAAGCCCAGGGTGCTCAGCCAGCAGCAGGAACACCCTTGTGCTGTTACCTCCACAGATGATGACCCTATAGCACAGCTCAGCATTGCCGCAGTTGGATGTAGAGGTAACACTGTGATGGCACTGCCTGCTTCTGGCTTCCTGCCTCTGCTGCCTTGCCCAGGCTTGCCGGGGCCTGAGTTACACCCCAGAGCATCTCCCCTTGATCCCAGGGCTGGGCTGTGGTGGGGACACCTGCGCTCAGCAGCCTCACACAGAAGCAGATAAGGAGCCTTTCACCTGGAGGTCAAATCCAGCCCCAGCTTATCTCTCAGAAGGGACTAAAGTTTACACTCTGTGCCACACACTGAATGAAGCCCAGGCCAGGAGGCAGCTCAGCCCTCTCCCAGTGCCCAGCACCAAGCCCATGGCAGCAAAGGCAAAAGCTCCTACACCCTGGTTGCGTTGGTCAGAGATGGAAACCCTGTGCCTGATCTCAGCCCTGAGCTGTTCCAGCCCTGTTCCTTCTGGCTTGAGGCTGCCTGCCTCTGCTTTTGGGCTGCCCACCACCAATATAACACAGCCTGTGTCCATCAAGCAGACCCATCTCCAGCTTGAGCTGCTCAGGAAAGGCATTGGGCTCAGCCCTGCCACTGCCTCACGTTTCTGCCCTCTTGCTGCTTATTTTAGCCAGGATGTGACTTTCAGGGTGGCTTAGAGGGACTGGGAAAGGGTTGCAGGTTATGAGTTAAAAGGGCTCAAGAAGAAATCTGGGCTGCTAAATATTCACTCTTTCATATGCAAAAAAACACTTCAACATGCAGTTACAGGAGCAAGGCTGGCTCTGTCACAGCAAGCAATGACAGAGCCATCCCTGCTCTTGATCTCAAGGTGAAGCTGAACCATGTCCTCTCTTGCAAGCCAAGATAAGACACTGTTGTATCGTTATCACAGTGGGGCTGGGCGCTTGGAAGAGATGTGTGCCTGGCTGCCTCATGGGAGCAATAGCGTGAGCCCAGTGCCGCAAGCCTCTGCCCTGGTTTTGTGCTCGCTTCCACTGTGTGACAGTTCCAGAAGTACCATTGCATCAGCTGCATGTGAGCAGAGGGTGTGCTGTGGTTGCTGCAGTATCCCAGCATCCCAGCTTGGCGCTCTGGAGCCCTTCATGCTGCTCTGACAGGAATCTCATGCTTCCCAGCGCTGGATCACAAGCAGCTGCCTTAAATCAGGCTCAGCACACGGTCTCGCTGCTGCTTCCCTTCAAGGTGCTACAATCCCTCCGGTGTGTGACCTGACGGAGACGTGTGCCAGTGTCCGTGCCAACAGTTTCACTGCTGTACCCATCCTCTGCCCTGGTCTTCCCTTCCCTGTGGTCTCTGATGATAAATAGCAATACCCACAGGTCACCAGCGATGCTGCGGTCCATGGTGCTCCTGAGATCTGGCCTTGCCAGGAAGGAGATGGCTCGGGGTCTTGGTGTTGGGCAGCCCTGCCCCTCCAGCTGGCCTCTGCAGGAAGGAGCTATGAGTCCTGTGCTGCCCCTTGGTGCTCACTAAGTCTGGAGGAGTTGGGGATCTTGGACTCTCTCTGGCAACAGGAGTGTGGAAGTGGTTTGGTTGCATAGCGAGGTTCCCCGGACCCATTTGAACTATAGACCTGGGTGGGTGGGGAGGTGCAGATTGCTGTCCAACGTGCTTCCACACCACCCAACTTGAAACACCCTTTCCCTCACCCACTTCCCAGCGTTGTCTTCCTTTGTCCAAGGTCTCCATTCTGTTGAATTTGGTGGTTACGATGTGCCTTTCCTTCTCAGGACCTGTTGCAAACGACCTTTCTGCTTTTCTTTCTGTCTAACATTTATCTTCCTCCCTCCCCTCTGTCATACTATAAAACATGAACATAATGCATGGAATACAATACAATAAAAAGTGTGGCTTAACTGCCCTGCAGTGCTTCCCTCTGCTGCACCGGGGAGGGGGGGGAAGCAGGAGGAAGTGCTGCAGAACCAGGGCACAGTGGGTGTCCCCAGCTCTGTCACCATGGGCTGGGTCACTTGGACACAGAGCCTGTTTGACAGGTCCTGGCACACAACTCTGCTCTCCAGTCCGTGGCCAGGGTATGGTTTTTGCTGCACATGCATTTTCTACATAAAGGTAAATAGTATTTTCCTCATCCCTCCAAAAAAAAAAACATGTATTCTAACAGATCTAACCCTAAATTTCTTGTGAGTAGCTGCCATGCATCTGTCAGGAGAAGGTGAGAGAAAAGACACAAGTTGGCAGATCTGCACATTGATGCACTTACCAGCTCCTTTCCTCCTGCTTACCCTTCTCCTCCAGCAAATGCTATTTCTCTCCCTCATGAGGAGGAGGATCTCGTGCAAGGAGAACCCCATCCCAGAGGTGAGGATGATGGAGGGTCCATAAGACCCTTGCTAGGTTCAGGACAAAGGAGTCGTGGTCCCAGGGCTGGCGTTGGCCACAGCTCCCTGTGGCTGCAGCCGGCCACTTGTATCTTCATCACCTAACCTGGATGCTACCTGCATCAACCCATCTCCCAGCATGGAGCACCTTGGAGCCAGATCCTAGGTGATGTTCCCACTGCAGATAAACAGGGAACCATGTGCTGAAGCAATAGGACTTTATTTCGGGTCATAGGGCTGGCTGCAATGAGTGCAGAGAGCGTAAGAGTGAGTTAGACCACAACTGGTTCCTCTCCTTTACCAGCAGATCCAGCCCTGCTCACACTCCTCAGTCCTGCCTTGAGATTTCAGGCCAGTCCTTGGGTGTTATCCTCTGCTGAGCAGCCACTCAATGCTTGTGTTCATTGGTCTAAGGTGTTTGAAAGCATTAAGGGATGAAAACACCTTAATAAGCAGCCGATGGAGTCATTCCCTGCTGTGCTTGGCCGGAGCAAGAGAACACACGGCGCTTCCCTGCTGGGCCTTGGGAATGCAGTGAGCTCCCATCATAGCGTGTTTCTGTCACTTCCTAAAGCTACAGAGGCTGAGCCTGGAGTTCCAATGGCTAAAAACAGGGCTGGAGTGAGGAGAAAGGCCACAGCTGATTTACAGTCACACTCTCATCCAACCTGACAAGTGACAAGTGTCCCTAGGGCTGCAATGAGAGCAGGCAGGAGTGTGGGGTTTGCTGCTCCCAAGGGACAGCGCGGTAGGTTTGGGTTCTAGCAGCAAGCCGGGCTGTTGCTGGTAACACGCTCTGTTTGCATTCCACATTCCAGACGATCCGAAGCTCCAGCCTGTCCCAGCAATGCCAGGCTGGGCATGCTTCCCAAATGTCTCTTCTTAGTGCAAACGGAGCATCTACCTCCAGCGAAAAGAGCCGGACCCCGAGTTCTGGCTGACAAACCAGGGGTGCTGGAGGGAATCCTTGGGATGCCGGGGACGGTGCGAGCAGCCGTTCCCTTTGTTCTCTTTGGTTACATGACATCGCTTGGGAATGATGTTGGTAAAAAGAGGCTTTCTCTAGGGATGGGAGATGCCGTTCCCTGCTGATGGGTGCTTAGGATAAAGGGAGGGCTGTGCTCTGATGGGTGCTGGGGACAGCTGGTAGCAAGGTTTATCTCCAACAGAGGGGAGGTTATGGATCAGGGAGCTGTTCTTTGCAATGGAAAAATGAATTCCAGAGAAAAAGGCTCCTTTTCTCCAGGGAGGAGCCATAGGGGGCCCTGGAGCAGCACAAGGATACTGGAGATAAGCATCCAAGCACCACTCGGGTGACCCGGCTGTGCTGGGAATGGCCTCAGCGCTGGGACACCCCCAAACCCCTCAGCATCCACTGTTGCTGGATGGATGGGAGCCGGGAAACCTGCACTGCGCTTTCTAATGAGGCATTTGGCTACAAACTGTTACTGCCCCTCACAGGCGCCGCAGCGGAGCCAACCCATTCCCTGCCCCTCTGTCAGGACGGGGCTAAATTCACCCCAGCAAAGCCCAGGCTCTTTCCCGTCGCTGCTCGGAGGAGCTTCTCCACTCCCGCTCCGCCTGCGAGCACAGACCGGGTACCGCTTCCTTCCGAGCCGCAGAACAAGGCCGCGCTCCCTCACACCGCCACCACCCGGCCCGCGGCGCCTCACCCGCGGCGGAGGCCTCACCGCCGGCCGCACCACCCCCGTTCCTGGCGGGGCCGCGGGGCAGGCCGGGACACACCGGGGAGCTCCGGTAGGTGAGCCGCGGCTGGGGCGGAGGCTGCGGCGCTGCCGGGGCTCCTCGGGCGGGCAGGGAGCGGGACGAGGCGGGCTGCAGCCACGCGGGGCTCCCCGCGACCCCGGGGCAAGGGCGGGGGCCTCGCTGAGGGGAGCGTGGCCGGGCAGGGTGCGTGTGAGGGGACGCGGCCCGGCTGCGTGTGGGGCTGAGGCGTGGAGCTTGCTGGGTCCAGCGCTCTCCCGCTGCGGGCGGGGAGAACCGGGAAGCGAAGGGAAGGGAAGCGAAGGGAAGGGAAGGTCAGCGCGGCCCGCGGGGTGGCGGTGGCAGCCCTTCCCGCCGGCGGGGATGCGGCGCTCGGGGCCGGGTGGAGGAGGGCCAGCCCCGGGGAGGCTCCTTCGGCGGCTATTTATAAAGGCCGTAAGGACAGCGAGGAGTCCTCCAGGGTGACCTCCTGCCGCTGCGGTCCCGGCCGCTTGCGGGGTTCAGTGCGGAGCCGCCGAGACCCCCGAGCCGTGGGGAAAGGCGCGGTTGCGGCCTGGGCGTTCGCAGGGCTCGGTAACGCTGTGGTTTTGCCCCTGTCGGGATGGAGAGGAGCGGCTTGGGACGTGCGGGAGCTTCCCATAGAGCAGCTGTGGAAGTTTGGGAGTCGTTAGTTTTAAAACGGGGGGAGGGGGGAGAAGCAGAGGAAAAATCTTGTTGAGCTGCTTTAAAATCGGTGTGCACGGTTCTTTACCTCCTTAAAACGTCTGGTTAAAGCCTGCGTTTCCTTACGTTGGCGTTTTCCCTGTTTTGCCCCAGGGCTGACTGATGTAACAAGCGGCTGCCGTTTTTTAGTGTGAGTTTTCCTTTGTCCTCCCGCCTTACCGAGACACTCTGATCTATCCCTTCATTTCAGCCTTGGCTTTTGCTTCCTTTTGTTCTCTTGCTGTAACTCAACGCTGTTCTATTTGATGGTGTAGCCAAGGAGAGCCACAAGCAGCCCTTAAAACCCTGGCGCTGATGTGAGTTGCGGGAATGCGGGGTGCGTTCAGGGAATTCAAAAGTAATTGAACTGGAAGAGCCAACGGAATTACTGCATCAGCGGAGTTTATATACAACGACTCGGGATGCCACAGGGCTCAGTGGCATCGTGGTGAAGCTGCCTGCACCCAGTGCTGGCTGAAGCCCATGAGGTGTGGAGTTTCCATGTGGGTTTTCCTTGTGGTAGGCCTGACCTCCCAATAGAAGTGAAGGGGGAAAATAGGATGGAAAAGAGCACTTAATAACCTCAATGAGAATCGATGCTGACTTAAGAGTGAGTTGTTACTTTGGAACTTCATCTGTGAATCATATAGTAATCTAAGTGCAGTTGGAGGTGACTCTTTTAAGCTGTGATTACTCTTGATCTTATAATCAAAACCACTTAATCATAAACTTGTATTAGTTTTCCTTTCCCAATCAGTATATAGCGAAGTATGAGAAAGCACAGAAGTGACATGAAACAACACATGCCCCATCGGCCCGTGTGTCACAATCCCCATCAAAAGATGATGGTTCTTGTCGGTGTCATCCTGCATGGATATGATGGAAGATCATAGTTGTAATAGTTGCTGGGTGATATCAGCCTCGTGCTACTTCTTCCTTGCAGCTGCAGAGGTGGAGATGCACATGCCTGGGCCTCTTCCCCTCTCCACCATCCTAAATCACACCTCCTGATCTCATCTGGCTGCTGGCACCTCGAGTTGTGCATCAGTGCTGGCAGGCCTGATGTCAGCCTTTGATGACGTGTTTTTTATATGGTGAATGCAGTTCCCTCACTCTGGGCAGGGTTCTTGTCCAAAGACACACGTTCCTTTGAACTGAATATGCTAATCCAGCTTTCCTCCTAAATGAGCTGCTTCAAGGAGGTTTTAGAGTTGTCAGCCAGCGAGTCTAAAAGGCATCTGTGTATTGGGAGGTGCTCTGAGGAGACTCAGCAGTGAATAAAATCCTGTGTGCTGTTAGAGCGGCCCAGCCTTCGTTTAAAAATACCCCAGCCCAAACAGCGCAGCAGCTCTATCTGTGGAGACGGTATCCCTTCATAAAGGACTTTATTGAGAGAAAGAAGTCAGTGGTTGGTCCAGAAGTTCTTTCCTCAATAGGAGTCAATGTAAGGACATGAATTTCAAAGGATGTTGCTGTGAAGCCCAGCTGCTGCTGAAATAGTACAGTGAAAATAACCCAAAACACTGAAGAGAACCAACTAAATATTTGGTTTTCTTCATTCTGGATAGACTCTTTAATGGAGCCTGACTAAAGGCAGTTGTTCATCTCTAGACCAAAACAACCTTTTCTATACAGAACAGGCACTGAATTGTGTTTAGTGTTTTTTGTATGACATTCAGCACGATGCCCGCCAGGACAGAAGACAGAATGGCATTTGTTCCCCTGGGTGATGTGCTAACGAACTCCAGAAAGAGCAGCTTTAATGTCCTCCCTGCTGCTTGCATTGGCTTCTCTGTGCCCTTAAAGAGGGCTCTGCTGTTGCTACCTGCACTGCTCAGTTTTCTGGTACTCTGTTTGCTTACAGCAATGATTGACCTGTTTCCATTAGTCTGGCTAATCATTAATTGACTTAAAATTGACACCTCCTTTTTGTCTCATGGCTGGAGTGGTTTGCTGTGCTCTGGTGATGTTTTCCTTCGTGTTGTCTTCCCTTACTGAGGCTGCTTGAAGATCTCACCTATGTTCCCCTGTTCTTTCTTTCCCCGTTTGTGTTTAAGGCTCATCTTTTGAACACAAGTCTTGCTTTATTGCTGTGCTTTTCCTGTTCTTCCTCTGCTTTAATGCATGCATTGACAGCCTGTTGAGAACAGCCTCCTAGGCCTGACAGCCGTGGCTAATGGCCTGAGACTGGTAGATTATGTGGACACTGAGCAGAGAAACAATTCTTCATGTGTTTAAGCTTGGATGGGTCAGTATTTTCTGTGCACCATATCCTGGAGCTCTCCTGAGTAGCCAAATACAGTTGAATATAAGGTGGAGTATTTCCACTGAGAATTAAAGCCAGACCACAGCTCATTCCTTATTCTTGGGATGAAATTAAGTTTCAAGAAGGATTTACGTGGGAGGAGGGGAGTTTAGTGTTTGTATTTGTCATGTCTTGACTTTATTGACTTACTCAAGCTTGGCAGAGATGCTAAGAATGGCCCCAGACACTGCTTTGGCCATCTGTAACGTCCTTTTGCTGCAGTTCACTTGCACAGCAACATGAAGTCCCACTGCTGCATTGCTAGATGAGATTGCTTGTGCTGCTTGTGACAGTTGTTATCACACTGCTGCAAGCCTCTCCTTTCTTACTTTTCTAACTACTAATCATTTGCTGTTAATCTCAATGTGTGTTTGGTGCTCTCAGCAGTACTGCTGTCCAGGAACAAAACTTGTCCTGGATATTATGGGAGGGGTTTAGAAAGAACTGCTTATGCCCAGAACCCGTGCTTTGTGCAGCGAGAGATGGCTTCTAATCATGCTTCTCAACACTTTGCAGAACTGAGATAGTTGGACAACAGGAAACCCTCACCAAAAGGCTGTCTGGTGGATTGAGGAACACCATTAGGCTGAGGGCAACAGCTCAGTCCTTCTCCCCTGCAAGTGGACAGTAGAAGGATGAAGGATGTTGTCATCTCAGCACTCTCTTCCTTTCTCTTTTTGCCACTTGGCACCTGGCAAATGCTTTTACACATTGAGCAGCACTGTGGCTCCTCCTTACAAGAATATTTATTTCTTCATCCATAAAACTACCTAATTGAAATTCAGAATTAACAGACAGGCTGCTGTTTGCAGGAAGCAGCTCAGGACACTGCTCCCAAGCTGAAGGCAGAGAAATGGAGCTGCTTTGAGGCCTGCAACTGGGAAACTGCTGGAGTGGCTGTTTGCAGGCAGCTGCAGCACCTCTCTCTTGGTGCTCTGGATATTCCCATGTTAGGAAGCTAATCCACACGTAATTTGAAGCTTGCCCTATAGCTGAACAGACACTTCTGCCCCTCCTGCTGGTGGTAGCTCCGTTAACAACCCATCCCTTATAAATAACTTTGGCAATACCAAATCTGACAGCAGTGATTTTAAATGGTTTTCATCTTGCTTTGCAAGCCTAGAATGCAGGAAGCTGCAACAGAATAAACCATATGGATATAAGGTCTGGAACCGTTCTTACAGAGAAGCTGTACAACTTCTTAACTTGGCCCTCTTTATTTGGGGTGGGGAGACAGGTCCTGGAAAATAATCTGATTGAATAATTAACAACTGCTTTTAGGTTTTGTCGGTGTAGGAAATAGCACATTGGGTACAGCATTTTGTGGCTCCTGGAGCTAGGCCCTCTCTGTCACTGGTTATTTACTATGTAAAATGGAGCTGCTATAAAATCACCACACTTCACAACGGGGGGATGCCAGCCTGGAGTTCCTGCATAGCTCTGCGCTTTTGTTTCCCATCTCTGGGGGTGGGGGACAAGCTCCAAAAGGCAAAAGCCTCCAGCATTCCAGCAAATCCCATTGCTTTCACTGGGTTTGTTCATGTGCAGCTGCTGGCTTCAATTGAAAAGCTGTGTCAGGAGAGATTGCTGCTGGGATTGAAGTCCTGGGTCCTTCTCTGCATGCCAACGAGGTCCAGAACCTTCCCAAGCCCACACATCTCATCTGTGTCTCTTTCTATATTAGTCTCCAGCTTTCCATCCTCTCGGGCAGCCAGTTCTTGCATGGCAATAGTACGTGCTGAACCCCACTTCCCCCTGTTACAGAACTGGAGCTTTTCTGCTTGTGCTGCTGACTCTTCATGTGTCCTATTGTTTGGGCAGCTCGTTTTTCATGCTCTCTCTGTTGGTTTTGGATTGCACATTTGCAGCTTCAGCACTGTGATGGAGATTGGGTTTGATATTAGAGGAGTGATTTGGAGAAGCAGCCTAGTTTGGGGGCCACACTATCATGGCTGAAGCCTTTGTACAGTGCCCAGTGATTTTTTGCTTTCAATAGAGCGTATTTTAAGTTCTGCTTGTTTTGGCTTAGGAGGATTGTGCTTTTCTTGACTTTATTGTTACAAAGCCCCAGAGCCAAAAGATTCCAGAAGAGATGGACAGTACTGCCTCTGGCTAAAGCCTGTTGGATTCCTGCTCTCTTTGACAGGTTGTTGTGGCTTGTGGTCTGGCTCTGCCTGTGCATCCCAGTGAAAGGAAGAAAGGGGTGTTCAGAGGGGAAACCAGGCAAGATGTGAGCAAGGGGAAATGAGGCTGATGGGTTAGTGCCTCCAGTGAGCCTGGAGAAACCTCATGCAATGCAGTTACTTGATTCGTAGAGTTAGAAACCCAGTTCTCCATGGCTCTATACAGGCAGGGATGAAATGGGCTTGCTTCACCCTTGTTTTGCCACTGATAACAGGGAGAAGACCCCAGGGTGATTAGACTGTTGTGCTAAGCCCCTGCAGAGTTCTTAGTTCAATTTGGATGCTGCTTCTCTGCATGTTCCTGTGTGTTACAGAACACTGAAAATCCTCCTTGGTTGGAAATGGGAATTTTATCTGGGGGGTTGTGTTAGCACTGGGTCAGCTTCCAGCTTCAAAATGCTTTTCAGCAATAGCTTTGCCCTGAAGTCATTCATTAGGCCTTAGCAAGTGGTTTCACACAGTCACTGGTGTTGATTTACTGTTACCTGAAGTCTTGGCTGTAATGAAACTGGAGTTTGATTTTGAAGAAGCTGCATTTGGGACAGTTGTCATCAAGGAAAGAAAACCCTTGGCAAAACCCATTTAGCAGTTGTGTTCTTAATGTATCAGTGTAACTTGGTTAAGTAGTTCTTGGTTAACCACCTTTGTGTTAGCTGATGCATTCAGTTCTATTAGACGTGTAGAACTCTATATAGGTGCTTCATTATTCGTCCTTAAAACACTTTCCAATTCACTGCAGAACCTCAGAGCTCCCCAAATCCTGTGCTGAAAGAGTTAATCCTTATTTTCCAACCAATATCTGCCTTAAAGAAGCCCCTGGCGTACACATACACAGCATTCCAGTGGAGTTCTATTCTCCTTTCTACCCATGAACATGCCAAGGGGGAAATGCACTGCAGAGACCTCAATAGCTGGCTTGTCAGTTGAGTTTTCCTTGTGGTTTATATGAATTCCAGGCAGACTGCTAACGAAACTGCTTATTCCTTTGCTTTGAGAGGCTGGTGCAGCTCAGGTCCTGCTGTTTGATGTGTTTGCTGCTCTTCACACAAGCAGCTTCTTCTGACAACAGCTTGTAATTTACTAATAGCCTTGATTACAGTTGCCCACTGCACAACACCCTGTGCAGCGTGAATGGAGCTGCGTATTAAGGGTAACGTCTAACACAGCAGCTTGTGAATGTGGGTTTTCCTCCCTTATTTTCCAGTGCGTGCACACAAGTGCCATTGTACTAATGGAGTAAAAAGTGGTGGTTTCAGTCTCCCTCTCAGCAGAGTCCTGCCTCTTGATATGGAGAGGGTCTCAGTGTGGTTGGGATGAGATGTTTTGTCTGCTGCAGGATTTGTTCTCCTCCTGCTGAAGGAATCTGCTGGATATTTTTATCCTGGAGAGGCCGCATGCTCTGGTTAAGCACAAGTCTGTCAGGAATAATTATTTCCTCTCTTAAAAGGAAGGATTTTGCCTCCTCATGGATGGGGTTTTGTTCTTTCCCAGCGCAGGTAAACAGTCACCAGCCTGTTCCTTAGCAGTCTGTCACATGAATGTAGCTGCAGCAAAGGCGATGTGTGAGGAGGGTGGAGGGAAGGTGGGAACTGATGTGCTTTCAGGTAGCTAAAAGCTGCAGCTCAGATGGGGCCTTGTGAATGCCTTGTCAGTAGGAGCGTGCTCTGAGGTGAAGCGAGCAGCTCTTTGTGCACTGGTAAAGCCTGCCTGGGTTAAAAACATCTTCCTGTCTTGCTTTGTTGTGTCCTGTTTCAGGAGAGGGAATGAACCATTCCGTAACAGGGTGCTCTGCTACCTTTTTCACCTTCACTTCCAGGAATGCTTCTTGGCCACCCTTGTGAAGGTTTACTATGGATTTACTAGGTTGGATTTACTGTGGAGGACTAAATAGCAAGCTGCATCAGTGGCAAGGAGGTAGTTATTGTGATGGGGAAGCAAATGCTCATTGGAAGGTGCTTTCTCTCTTTAATTTGACCTCCTGAGGCACCCATCAAGTGCATCAGTCTTAGTTCCTCCTGCCAGTCTTATTTCCTATGAAAACTCCTCAGGTCTGGGTGGTTGAGTTGTTGATGTGTGTGGTCACTAAGGTGGCACTCCAGCATCTCTGCATCAGAGAAGCCGATGGGGTACCAGTGTAAGGAACCATCTCAGGACTGTTGACAACATCCTATTTTCTCAATGTTCCCCCTCCTCCAAGTTAGGTAAAGGCAAGGAAAAATACCCTGCCTTATGTTGGGGTGACTTCATGTACAGCAGGCATAATCAGCTGATGTGAAATGAGGCGAGTTTAAAAGCCGCTTGTTGTGGAACAGAGGCAGTGCCTGACCCCGAGGGGCTGCCCATCCGCACTTTGGGATGTTTCTCCTGACTTGAAGCCCTGTAGTTTTAATTCCGTGTTTCCTATTAACAGGGTCACCTTGTCCTCCACGGACTGTTACATCGTGCATGAGATCTACAACGGAGAGAACGCTCAGGACCAGTTTGAGTACGAGCTGGAGCAGGCCCTGGAAGCCCAGTACAAATACATAGTGATAGAGCCCACCCGCATCGGGGACGAGACCGCGCGCTGGATCACGGTGGGGAACTGCCTGCACAAGACGGCCGTGCTGGCGGGTACCACTTGCCTCTTCACCCCTCTGGCCCTTCCAGTAGATTATTCTCACTACATCTCCCTGCCTGCTGGTGTGCTGAGCGTGGCTTGCTGCACCCTTTATGGCATCTCTTGGCAATTTGATCCCTGTTGCAAGTACCAAGTAGAGTACGATGCCTATAAACTTTCCCGCCTGCCCCTGCATACGCTCACCTCCTCCACCCCGGTGGTGCTGGTGAGGAAGGACGACCTGCACAGAAAGAGACTGCACAACACGATAGCACTCGCTGCCCTGGTGTACTGTGTAAAGAAGATCTATGAACTCTATGCTGTATGACTCCAGCAGGGAAGAGAGAAACCCACAAAGACAAAGTGTATTAAGACTCCCGCAGTAACATTTTGTTTTTCCTCTTTTTTGAGAAGCAGTTGGAGACTGGGAAAGGATTTGGTTTCATAAGAGATGTTATTTTTCAAATAACACATCACTGGTGCACCGAGGTTTTTCAGTTCTTCTCAGTTACACTTAAGGTGTGGATGTGTGGTGACTTGAGAGCTGTATGTTAGGCGATGGGAGTCCAATCCAGCAGCAGCATGTCGAAAGTGAGCTATAGGAAGAGGGGGTGTGAGAGCTTCTTCTACTTCTTTATTATTTTTTGGGGGGGGGGAACATTTAAGTATCTTGTTTAATTGTATTACACAGAACCAGACAGAAGTTATCATTGACCATTAAAGGATGAGAATTTGAACTGCTTTTTGCTCTCTTGTTACTGGTATCGTAGTTCCTTTTCCTTGCAGGGGATGGAGACTTTGCTGTGAGGATGCCAGTGGTGATGATTGATTATCTGTGCTCACACACAGACCTGATGCTCCCTTTGGCCCCATGGCAGCGGTGTCCATGGACAATCTCTATCTGTTGAAGGAGTAGCTGTTGTAGTGTTGCTTTCCCTCTTGCTTGACTAGTTGTGTTTCTTGGAAGAGGCTAACTTGGTACCCCAGTGCTTACATCCTTTTGGCAATTGCTTAAATACTGATGGCTGGGGCTAAAGGGCTCCAAATCCTCTGCTGCTCTCCTCCAGCTGTTACTGCTCCACACAGTGGAGAGAACACTGAGTTTCCAGCTACAAACTCATCCTGCTCAGCCCTTGTTCACGTTCTTCCTAACGTGGATCCGTCTCTCCTGTGCAGCTGAGCACTGCTAAGGTGGGAGTTGGGCTCTCACCTTTGTGCTTTGTTATGTGCTGACACTTGGGGGCTGCGCCCTTACTTTGCAATTCCACTGCTTCCGCTTGGAACGTGCACTTACGGAGCTGCTGCTGCTGCAATGATCCATGTGCTTGTGTCTTGTAACTCCGTTACTTGGAATATTAGGTTCCACTCTTGTGCATTAATTCATCTTGTAGCTCAGAACTGTCAAAATCTTGTTCTTAGAATTGGAAATACTTACTGGTTTTGCCAGTTCCTTTCAAAAGCTAGGGGCCTGCTGCCTATAACCTCCTCCTCCCACATGGAAACCAGGCGTGCTTTGCACTTCCAAGGCCAGCTTGGCACAGCTTCAAGCGTTACGATGTGAATACAAGAGCAAAGCCCTGTAATAAAACCTGCCTGCACACAGGCGTCCTGCTTGCTTGGAGCCTGACCTCCACCGTGAGGCACTGACCTTGGAAAGGAGTCTCATGAGGTCAAAACCCCACATTCAGTAGCCCTGTCTTTATCTTCCCTATCTGCAGCAGCAGGCACTGAGGCATCCTCCTGGCCTCCAGGCTGCAGCGAGCGTTTCTGGCCATGCTTCCAACTCGTGCTTTGCTGCTGATGTGGCTTTTGTGTCAGCAGGGCACCCGTCCCAGTGTGTGTGCTGGGCAGACTGGGTTTGCTGGGAGTCCTGACCATGTGCTTCTACCCCTGAGGCAGCCAAACCTCAGCAGGCACATGGCTGAGAGGAAACACCAGCGGCATCCAGATGTTCCTAGGTGGCAACAGGCCTTTGCTGGTACAGTGGCTGAGTTGTCTCCCTCCAAGGTTAAAAGAAGTAGGGATCCAGCTCATCTCTATTTATAGCGACAATGTACAGTTGCCTTGGCAGAGAGGAGGGGAAGAAATGCAGCTACTTCATCTTCCTGTGGTTAGGCCAAGTCTGCTGGGCAGGCTGCCCCTTCAGACTGACGTTTGAAGTGCTGTCTACTGGATGGAGTCTAATCGAGTGGCAGAGCTGCCGTAGCTGATATGTGCTTTACCACTGAAATCCCCTTGTGCTGGCCACACCAAAGGCATTCCTGCTCTTTGTTTTAATCCAGGATAACTGTCAGGGTTAGTTCCTTCTCTTCACCAAACCCCTGTGGTCCTGCCACTTTCTTGTGCTAAGCTTTTCCTTGCCTGGAATGATGGCTATGGCAGAAGGACTGACCCTCAGCAGGCTCCTGAACTGCCTGGCTTGCAGCAAAGACTCTGGAGTTAAGAATGGGCAAGTTCCCTGTGGTGTTTTACTGCAGGAGGGAAGGTGAAGTCAGCTCAGCTGTCACAACAGGTAGGTCTGGTTTAAGAACTCGCCCTTTGCTCCATGCTGAGCTACAGAGGACATGGATGGGGTAGGAGGCCTGTTAATGGAGCTAGAGTGCTTGGTGACATCCTGGCTGTTAGCGAATCAGTGCTGGAACCACACAAGGTGAGCTGGGGGAGTATTAAGAGGGGTCTGAGGTTGTGTTTTGGGGCACTGCATGAGGTGGGGGCTGTATTTGCTGACCCCCATTGCTGGTAGCTGTGAATTACAGCTGGGGATGAGCTTTGCAAAAGCCCCCCCATGGTTTGCTGCCCATCCTGGCCGTTGTGGAGGGGCTCTTAAGTGGAGCATGTTAACGTGCCTCTCATCACAGAGAGGGGATTTACTTCCAAAGGGGAATGTGCACACTCTTGGTAACCTCTCAGATGGAGCTGTGGTTCAAACAGTAATTACAATTAACTCCCCATGTGTAATCTTTCTCCTCAGGCCCTGTGTTGTACCCTTCAGCACCCTGGATGATGACACGGAGAACCCCTTGGTCCTTCTTGGGTTGCCATGACCTAGAAGAAGTGAGCAGCTGGACAGGACTGGCAGGAGGACCTGAATGTGCAAAACATGAAAGGAAAGCCCAACTAATGCTTAGAAACCCGTTGTGGAGGAGGAGAGAAGGTAAAGCTTCAACTTGTAATTTCAACCCTAGGCTTTTAGGTAACAAATCTAGAACCTCAGCCACATACTGAATGGTAGAAGGTGTTCTAACTGAGCAGTAGTAGTGTTGTGGTCATTAAGCACATCCTGGGCATCAGCTGGGATGGATTCTCAGAGATCAGTTATAAACCTGTAGTAAAGAAAAGACTTCTTGAAGAAGCTCCTGCTAAGCCTGCACACCTGTATTTGAGTTCCAGTGTGACTGATCCTCTGTGTGGATCTGCACTATGCCTATTGTAAGCTGATGGAAAGAGGGCTGGGATGAAGTATGTTGTCCTGCACCTTGCAGGAATGGGGGAAACCCAAACCTCTCCTGCTTTCCCTTCCTCTAACACTGCCTGCTGTGAGGAGCTGAAGCAGAACAAAGGATTGATTTCATAGCAGTGTAATTTATTTGTCATCGATGTGCACTCACAGGCAGGACATACAAGGCAGGATACATAAAATGCTGGGAAGTGCATGGAGGTGGCCACAGGGGTCTGGACCTTCGTTCCCACTAATAGGCTTTAGCTAAAATACCAGTTAGCAAGGACAGAAATGATCCTTTTTGAACTACCTCTGTGCAGCCACTCCTTTTCCTAGCATCCCTCACATGAAGAGAAGGGGAAGGAATGGAATATGGCATTCCCTAAGGCCATCAGGCTCCCTGAGGCTTATGCTGTGTGATGGGCTGGTATCATTCCCCCCCCGGCTGTGATCCTTATGAGCACCTGATTGCTTTACACCAGATGAGAACTAAGGGTCTGTCTCCTATTCTGTCCACCCTATGCACCCTCTGCTTGCAAGAGACAGTGTGCTGGTCCCTGCAGACTCACACCTACTCCTGCAGGGGGACCAGTACCATCAGCTCGCAGCATGTCCTGCTGTGCTGGTTTCTGTCTGTCCAGTCCTCCCCCTGCTTTAGCTCATGCCGGGGTGAACACTGTGCTGTCTGGTAGTGCAGAGTTAGACTGAACCATGTCAGTAAGGCATGATACACACAAGTAACTGCCAAATAAAGCTTAGATTTTACATCAGTTACTTCAAAAGTGGCACTGGGCTTGACTTCAGCTGAACAGATCAGATGATGTGGCATGCTCTGTGAAGTTCCCCACTTCAAGCAGTGGGTTCTGGATTAGAGTGGAAGGAGTGGGAAGGAGACAGTGAGCTGAGGAGTGTATTTCACAGGAGCCATGGGGTAGGAAAAGACAAGATCTGCTTGCGTGAAGGCAGAACGGGTGGGTTTTATTTGTAGCAGGCCAGTAAAGCTGAGCAAGCCTGGAGTGAGGTGAGTAAGGTGCTGTCTTCCAGCATCCCCTGCTGCGACGTGTTCCCTTGAGCTGCCTCCGCTGCAGCCTCAGCTCTCCCCTTTGTTCAAGCACCCTTTTCCAGGTGAGCTGTAGGTGCTGTCTTCCAGCAAACGGGCCTGTCCTGCCGTGGGGGGAACCCGCTTCCCACTCTCCATGCAATGGTAAACGGCAGCATTCTGAGACAGGATTTTCCTGCAGGAGCACCTCCCGATGTCCCAGCTGAAGCGCAGGGGCTCAGCCTCTCCCTGCAGTCCCTGCTCCAGTGAGCTCAGCTCTAAGAGGCCTTTGCTTTTCTCTCCTTTTTTGCTCTCTCTGCCATTAACCTGAAGAAGAGCCTGGGACAGAGGTTTCGCAGGTAGACAGCCAGGGAGGGCGTCAGCCCAGCCACAAGTACTTCCTTCTTCTTCTGTCCCACTGCATTGAGCACCACCTGAGCCACCTCTGCAGCCGTCTGTCCTTCCGCGGTGTTCTTGTCCATAACTGCCAAAGGAAAGCCTCAGGTAAGCCCATGCTTGAGCACCTTTCCTGGGAATGCTCTAACTGTGCATGGCTGCTTGGATGGTTTTGGTTTTACACCAGCTGTGTGTGGGAGCACAGGCAGGTGTAAGGCATGGCTGGGCTAGAAGTCAGTAGCTGTTGTCTAAGAAGGCTGAATTTTGGGGGTTGCTGTTCCTACCCTGCATCCAGAGATATCTTTTGATGCTTCAGGGCTACCCTGTGTCCCCACCACCTTTGGAGTAACTCAGTGAGGTGGAGATGCATTAGATACAGGGCACAGAATCATATCTCACCTCCATAGCGAGATCCATCTGCTGTTATAGCATTGAGAGAGAGGTTTGTCTGAATGTAGCCAGGGCTTATAACTGTCACATCGATGTCATACTGCTCCACCTCTGCTCGTAGGCAATCAAAGAAGGCCTGGGTGGCGTGCTTGGAGGCAGCATCTGAAAAACAGGGAAAGCACCATGCAATGGGAAGGAGCAGGGCTGAAGGAAGATTCACTCCCCTGAATGGGTTTGTCATTGCAGTGCCCCCACTTCTCAGCAAGAAGCCAGCGGTTCTCCAACTTCTGTGTTGGTTTGTGTGTAGTTTGGTTTTCTTTTAGTGAATGGCAGCAATAGGTAGTGGGGATGAGGAAGGCAGAATGCAAACACTGAAGCTGGAAACTGGCTGGGGTCCTGAGCTTAACACCACAGCCAGGCCAAAGCACTGGAGAGTGAACCCAAGCTGCCTCCTGCTCATGGTAAAGGAGACA